TATCAACCATCGAAACCGAGTCATATGTTTGCTATGTTTGTCCGATGATTGTGAAAATTGTTATTTCATTTGTTGACCAAAATTATAGGATTTTTACTTAATTAAACACACAATAAAGAAAAACACTTGTCTTTTCATCAGTTTATTATAACCTTCACCAAAACACATCTGTACTCTCTGCCGTCTTCTCCATGTGTTTCCTTTTTGGGTGTGTTGTCTTGCGTGCTCCTGGGATCTCGTCATGAAGAGTGGTGGAAGTCGCTATTGGCGTCCCTACATATCGACTATCCTGGGTTTCATCCGTCTTGGATGACGAATCAGAGTATGGTTGCCAACGTTTCATATATTCTCCACAGGTCGTGGTTAACTTTGGTTCTTCTTAAAATCCTTTCTTCTCAACTTCGTAACTGTCTTTTTCCTTAATTCTGGTTATTTTGTACAGACCTAGAAATTTCACTTTATGTTTTAGGCCTAGATCTAACTGTATTCGTTTTATCGCTACGATGTCTCCGACCTGGTATTTCGTTGACTTCTTTCTTCTTTTGTTATACGTCTTCATATTATCTTGTTGAATCTGGGATATTTGATTTCTTGCACTTTTTCTAAGTTCTCTCCTGTCTCCACCGAGTTGTTCAAAAGTCTTCACCATTTCTTCTTGCAGTAGTTCTTTGATTTGTCGTTCGTCCTCTATACTTCTCATCTTCATCTTCAATAATTCTAATGGCGTCATTATAATGCTGCGTTGGTAGGAAGAATTAATAAGAATTAAGAATAACCTTAAATTCTTTTGAGGTATAAGCTGTGCTCTTGTCTGATATAATCTGATATGGGTTTCCAAAGAACCTCATTTGCAGTTCCAATTTTTGAATAACGTGAAAATCAACGTTTTGACAAAATTTGACAGGATAAATCAAACATACTTTGAAAAACTGTCAATAACGGCCAAAATATGATTATAGTTATTATTTGTAGAAGCTAGTGGCTAAATGGTCTAAAACAAAATGGTTTATTAGTCTATATGGTAAGTGTGAAGTGGGATCCACCTTTTTCCAATGGATGTAGAAACCCTTCTTTCTTTCCACTTTTTCTATTAATCAGAATTTATGTTACACAACTTTGGAATACAATACTTTTGGTTTAGTTTCTCTTCAACAAGTTTCACTCCTAAATGGCTATACATATTTTATGTGCATTCCATATTATAGTGTGTTGCATATGTTTAAGAACAAATAACAGGTCTTTACAAATTTGTTGAAGGAATTTGTAAAGGATTGACTTCTTTAGGAAATAGTCATCATATTGTTGATGTTTTAATAACTCCCTAATTGTCTGACATTCTTAATCGGCTTCTTCTGCTCTCTGAATAACTGGTGAAATATGATTTTTCATTTCAATAGTCTTTACCGGGTGGCGGCTAAATGCATCAATGTGTGTATCTTATATCCAGGTTTATGTATCACTTCATAATCAAACTCCTCCAATAACAATGCCCATCTTGCAACTCTTGTAACCAAATCTCTCTTCTGCATGGTTTTCTGAAAAGCTGAGGAATCCGTAATAATTTTAAGTTTTGTACCCAACTAGTAAATTCAGGTTCATTCATTCTCTCCTATTATGGGTTGATTATTAATGAAAGCAGTAACTGGTCTAATTAGTTACATTTATTACACTTTTTACACTTCATGTTGTCATCATCATCTTTAGCAAAAAGCTATTTGATAATTCTGAAGCAGAAGAGTTAACCTATTTTAAATCACTTCTGCCTACTGTAAAATATTTAAACGAGAACGGAACACAAAGCACATCGACAAGTCACAGTTTATAGAAAATTCTACTGATTGAAGATTCTGCTATTTTTAACACTCTTCTATATTTTTAGATATGTTGGTACCTATTATCCACATGAAGCTTTTATTACACTAACTGATTACTACGCAGCTTTATGGAAAAATTAAGAAAAACAAAATATATGAAAGAAATTCTTAAATGAATACATACGTTTACATCAAATGGTAAAGTTAATTGAAACTTTACAAAACATGAAAATAAAAACAGTCTAAAACACGAGAAATTAATCCAGGTATTATTATCTTGTTTAATTTCGCAGCATAAGTAATTTTCATTTCCTTCCTTTAAATTATTTTCTTGGATGTTTTGTAAAAAGCATGTACGTTTCCCGGATTTTTTGAGTGATCTCCATATAACTCCATAGCTCTATCTTGGAACTCGTTTCTGATCTTTCCTTTGGAAGTGGTGTGGCCGCTGTTTGCTTGACTTCTCTTAACCTAGCTCTTTCCGTTGGAGAAAAATCTATCGTCACCGGTTTGGGAACTTTGACCGAAGGTGGATCATCACCATCTCAACTCCAATCCGTTGAAGTTACCGTTATCAGCAACGAAGCTTGTAACTTTGCCAAGTAAGTTAGACGTTCCCTTTATATTTTTGAATCAAGGATTACTCATTGGTATCGTTTCTTGGGGATACGGCTGTGCTCGTCAATCTTACCCAGGTGTTTATTCCAGCGTTCCAAACATTCGCAGTTACATCACCAACGCTTCTGGAATCTAAGATACATTTTTGAATCCGTTATTAATTAAAAAATAAAAAATTAACTTTATCAACGATTTGTCATTTGTGAATAAAAAATGTTAAATTGATTCGAGTTGCCATTAATTATAGAAAGTTATTAGTATAATTCCTGAAGACCTTGCGATTCACATTATATATTAAGACTTTCAACATTTAAAGCTATCATAGACCCATGCTTTCAATATGACAACTTATTAATCTTCCATTCGGTTTTGGTAACGATACAACTCGCGTTTCCCGCTCTCAAACATTTCCCGAAAATCTCCATATGATATTAAAAATTACATCATCAATTTATTTACAAACTGATCCAGTAATAAACCAAAGACCATGTGGAATGTTGTTAATGCTAATAAAAGCATTGACAATAGAAACGAAATCGACAATATTGATGAAGATTGCCCGAGAAACGAAGGGGAATGATACAGACGGTTGAATGATTGAGGTTGTGTAAAGGTTTTGATGGCATTGTGTGATATGGATTGACATGAATTGTCCGGTAGTGTAAAAGCATTGGTAAGAATTGGGTATTATAAATATGTGATTACTATATTTCAGAGCTTCGTATATATCCCATAAGGTTTTCGAATATACATCCCATCATGTTTAATTGACATATAATACTGGTGGTTCTAGAATGATACTTGTCCTAAGTATGATAGCGATTGATAAATGTTCATCCTGCTAGTTAGTTGAGTCAAAAATAATACGAGTAATTGTTAGAAAGTGTAAAAGTATCTGTTGATTTTTTTGTGGATTATGGAATGTGAAAGGACCTATGCTGGTGACATGACAGCGTAGGAAAGCTGCGACAAAAGAAGTAATTATCAACAGTGTTATATGACAAGGAGGCTCCACTCTAGGCTGATAAAGGGAGATAAATAGCTTTAGAACCACTTTTATTCTAGGCTCCATTAACGCGGTAGTCAACCAAGGGTTGAACGCAAATATTTTTTATTTCTCAAATGGATTTTCAATTTTTTAATTAACTGGTATCTTGTATTGTACAGGAAGAGTAATGACCTGTATAAAATGATCTGAGAGATTATAATGAATAGCGAGATATTAAAATCTACACTATAATCTAATCGTGGCAAGGGTTGTCAGTTATAAATAACTCCTCCCAATGTTACAACAAATCGTAGAAACTCATCAATATCCTTCAATTTTACTTTCATCTTCAATCCACTATCATAAAATGTCGTCTGCAGCTTTATCAGTTAGCTGACCCCATCTTGCTCCGGTTATGATTACAAAACGATGGCGGTCTCAACATTTACATTGAAGTCAGGTAATGTATCAACTGGAGGGAGAGGCAGAAAATATAAGGTTTATCAGAAACACTACACTTTGACATCACATACGAATTGGAAGAGTTCAGACCACTCTTCAGGAGAGAAACGTTCACACAAATATTGCAAGTACAGTATCAAAATATGCCATGGTATATTTATTTCAGTTATGTTACATGTTAGCACTAAATCTACAAAAGACTCTATTCTCAGTTCTTCTTTGGGAGCGATGGATTGAAGGAATTAAACCAGTACTCCGCGCTTTTCCGATTTCTGCCTAGCAGAACCACCCTTATGGGTGCTACTTTAGAGTTACCATCTTTAATTGTATTCTTGATGACCTGGGGATACATGTTAAGTAAGGAGCTAGAAGAGAGCCTCTCTCATCTCGTAGCGGTTTCACCCTTCCACCTTAATAACCTCAGGCGTTATCACCTATGTAAGCCAATCTATTTAATATTGTATTACTAAGAACCTTACCAAGAATTCCAACAAACAAGCATAATTTTCTTAAAGAAACTAGAGAACTGAACTAGACGTAACAAGGTCAGCATACATTCTTGTAGAAGACTGGAGCTGTTCAGTAACAAATGTCATTTAGAAAACAGTTGTGAAGTATTAAGCGAATATAAGTTTCACTTGTCGATTTGGTTGTTTTTAGCTGATGTTGACACTGATAATGAACAATTTTTAGAAGATTTGTGATGATTCTGAAGTTGGCAATGAAATATTTAGATCGGTTTAAGATTTTACAGTAAAACCATTCGCGAAGAAAGAAAACGCGCAGAATTGTTTACAAAGAAGTAGGTGAGAAGTTCGAAATAAGTAGAATACAGATAGAAGTATTCAACAGGAACTGATTGGGTAGTTTCAGCTTAATGGATAAATTGGATCATTAAAAGATATCTTTGCTGAGAAAGATAGCTCTGTGTTACCACTAAACGAAAAGATGTTCATAGTAGTATGTTTATATCAATAATTGTTTGTCAGCATTGTATATGACAAAGAAAGGAAAAGGCGTACTTCATCCTTCAACGTTTCATGAAGACAATTCAATCGATTCAAAAAATGCAAATATAAATAGTAAAGAGTAACTGCAACCAGCAAAATAACAAGTCATTATAGTTAATTTTTGAAAATCTTTTATTTTTATTGATTAATTATATAATCAAAAAATCATAAATTTAGATTTGTGTAATAGTGGTGATGTATCCACGAAGATTTGGAACGCTAGAGTAAACTCCTGGGTAATTTGGACGGGCACATCCGTATCCCCAAGAAACGATACCAATAAGTTGGCCATTAACGACCAATGGGCCACCACTGTCACCCTACAAATTCAATAATAATCAATAAATTTGATCTAAAATTAAAAAAAAAAAGAAACTTACTTGGCAAGCGTCTTTTCCTCCACCAGTTTCACCAGCGCACATCATACGATCGGTGATGGATCCACTTCCGTAAGCAGAAGCGCAAGCGGCGTTGCTGACAACGGTAACTTGAACGGATTGGAGTTGAGATGGAGATGATCCACCTTCAGTTAAAGTTCCCCAACCACTGACGACGGATTTTTCTCCAACGGGAAGAGCTTGGTTAAGAGAAGGTAAACCAACAGCGGCAACACCACTTCCAAAGGAAAGATTAGAAGCGAGTTCCAAAACACTGATGTCATAATCGATGGCGGAGGAATCGTATTGTGGGTTTTGGTGGATGGCTTTAACGTTGACAACAACACCACCGGATCCACGGATGGAAGAACCAGCACGGATACTCAACATAGAAGCGGAAGATCCATCGGTACAGTGGGCGGCAGTTACGGCGTATTTAGAGGAGATGATGGAAGCTCCACAGATGTGGCTACCATAATATTGAAGGGAGAGTTGGTATGGGAAGTCTTCGATGTTAGCGTTTTGTCCACCAACGATTCTTCCATCAGGAAGAGGTAGTTTGCGTGGGAGAGCTAAAAAAGTTTTGCATGTTATGAAATGCTACAAAAACAATTTTTTTATCTTACCAAAGGCGGTTGCCAAAAGGCAGGAGAGGACCACAAGTTTATACATTTTGGTATGGTACGATATGAAATTCAGTCGCTTTATATAGGTCTTGGTTTATCGCACTCTGGACATTTTTTCCACTTCGATAAGTGGGTAAGTGTATTAAAAACTTAAGTGTACTACTTGAAACTTATGAAATATTATTGCAACGTAGATGAAATGCGCGAGGGGATTTTTATTAAATCCATACTTAAAATAGATTATTGTATATTGATATGAAAAATGTAAAAATACCCTTAGTAATCAGTTTTATTTTAAGTTATATTGTGTAAATATTTTGCGTATTTATTGTTATTCTTTTATAAATCTTTATAAATCAACATTTTATTATATTTTGGAAGATAAACATATTTTTATTAAATAAATTAAGATATTTTTATTAAAGCTTATACTATAACACATTATTTTTTGTTAAAGGCCATTTTAGTTTTTTAATTACTTCAAAGTGACCCTTACATAAAAGTCACTTATGTTGTTTTTGTACTCAACAGTTCAACTGTAGATAAGAAATATCTATTGCCCAAGTTTTTGAAAAATAGCGAAAAGTAAAAAAAAAACTTAAAAAAAAAAAATTTTGGTTGGTATTATAAGATTTTGCAAACAAAACAACTAGATATGGTTTTGCAATAAAGCTGTCAGTTTTATCTGGGTGTTAAAAAAAGTTTTTGTTATTTAATTATCTATATAAAAATGGTAATATTGTTCAAAATGATCTTTGTAACAATTCTTCAGAGTCTTGTTTAAAACTCGTTGTATCTGACAAAGGTACTCGGTGGACTACAGGGGGACTACGTTTCCCAAAAATCCTTATTAATTTTTGGGATAAATTTTGGTCTCTATGATGTCTTCTTCTTTGTTGTTCACAAAAGAACAATATTTAGATTATTCACGACCGTGTGCCATCTTGAATTGAATGGATTTCGAAAACAGCTATAATCACAGATTGTAGAAATCTGGTATCGATTGTGTCATTGTAAACTTGAATTTGACATGGCCATAATATATTGTTTGCAAAATTTTATTGTAATCCAGGACTGTATGCATTTAGTCCATAATTTCTCTATTCTAAGTTTTGTTGTTGTGCATAATAGGCGAATAACCACTTAGTATAGAGTGTAATATTTTTCGTGGCTGTCTTCGGAAGTTTTTTGCTCTACGTAACTCCATTTTTGCTACTCTTATAGAAAATCATGGGACTTCGTGTTTAGCAAGTCTTCTTTTCTTTGTAACAGTATTGGTATTTGTCATGAGTTTAAGTATGTAAATTAAAGTTACATAACTTGAGTGCGTTTTGTTGATACCGTATTACTCAATCGGTAACTTTTCTTTAGAAATTTCTATAGTATCATATCTTTAGGATTATCTGTTGAGATATATGAAGATAATTTTTATATACTTTTCTGCTCCGGAGATAATAAGAAATGTTATATGTTAAATTGGCTAAGATTTTAAAGGTATTTTGTTTGCGGCATCATTTTTTACTCCAGATATCTTGGATGGTTTTAATTTACCAGAACTGCACTACCTTCTCTAGTGCATTTGTACTTCTCGCTTGATGGCGAATTTTATAAATTAATGAGTCGACAACTTTTATTACACAGTTTGTAAGAGCTCTTCTGATTTATTCATTTTGAGGAAGCTCAATAGGTTTATTATTGACACAAGTTCAATACACAACAAAGTGTTATCAACCAATACCAAATGCAACCCCACGGTGTTGTTCCAGCGGATCTACAAAGCACTTCGGTCTAATTTTGGGCTTTGACGGTTCTGGTTGTGGAGATTTTGTTTTGGGTTTTCGATGATGTTAGTCATGCGTTTGCTCAGCTATTCACGAGTCGCAAAAACTTCTTCCTCCAATATATTTGACGGGGGATTTTCTAGTTGTGCTTTCTGAGTGCTTTCACTTCTTGAGTTGTCACGCCGGCGTCGTATCATATAGTCCAATATTTAATTTGTGTAACATTCACCGATGTAAACATCAGTTACTTCAATTTTGGCTATCCTCGGATTATCTGCTGCCTTTCCTTCTTGTAGTATAATTTATATATCTTAGTGCGTGTTTACATTGCCTCATATATTAGTGTAATATCGTCTGTGTATTAAGTCTCGCGTGTATATTGGGATTGGGTTGTTTTCTTATCCCAATCTTGGGAAATTATTTCAGTATTTCAAGTTTGCTGGACTATTTTTTTCAGCCATCGTCGGGCCCTCTTAGTTAAGTAGTTCTGATGATCTGCTATTTTCGCCAGCTACTTTTGTATTTCAGATTTCCTTTAAGATTTCTCGCACTTCTTCCACACTCACTTTCTCTTCCGCCATCTTCTCTTCTTTTTCTCGAATTCCTATCCTTTGTTCAGTATCCACTCTCCTTTCTCAAATCTTTCTGCGTAGTAGTTATTCCATATTTTTAGCATATTTTTTGTTGATCGGTTATAACTCTCCATTTTGGCTTTTTTTAATTTCATATTTGCTTTGCATTGGTCCCTTTAAGTTCTTGACTATGTGTCAGAACTGTTTCGTTTTCCTATAATTTTCAAACTTTCTCAACTTTCTTCGAAGTTCTTCTTTCTAAACATCTTCCTTTGCTCTCCGTCGTTATAGTTCCTGATCTGTGGCTGTTCTTGTTCTCCTGAAGGTAAACCAACTTACTTTTTTCTGTTTTACTTTATTCTTTATCATTATTATTATTCCATCATTTGGATTTAGTATACTTTGTCTTGTATTTTTTGTTTTCGTATCATTAGTATTATGATTTTAAGAGCTATATCTTTATTTACTATTTTCTGGATAATATTTGTCTGCAAAGTTAGTTTTCGGATATTTGGACGTTGCGTGGGTTCCGTACAACCGTATTAATATAAATTTACATCGAATAGTTTCCTATGTTATTGGTGTATTTCTGTGTCCAGTTGTGTCTCTTCACTGTCTTCATCTTTAGATGCATTACTAAACTTATTATGCTTTTATTCTCTCCTGTGAACAACTCCGCTTTGTGGAGATTTGTTGGTTAATTCTGTTAATTGATATATGACTATTTTCAGTTTCCATTTTCGGGATGGGAAGATACGTATGGATAATAAATTGGTTCATGTCTTGTCACCGTTTCATCATATTACGGATAGTTTCGGTCACTGAATTGCTCCACTAAAGCATCTATATCTAAGACTTGTATATGTATTATGCATTGTATTTGTTCTATGTCCTATTATTCAGTTATGTCCAGAATGCATTCTGAATTTCTTCTTCATGATTTCAGCTAATTTCCGGGTTCACTTTTATTCTGTTCTCAAACATGAGTGACCTCGTTTGAACAACTACGTTTTGTTTAACTATTTCGTGCAATCCCTTTGACTACTGTTTTGTATTAATTTCCATTTTTGTGATGACAAGATAACAAGGTAACAAGTTCAACTTCTTCTTGTTCTTGTATACTTCTTCGCATGCGTGGTTTTTCGTCCTGGGATCGACATCAAGAATTGGATTGATTCGGATATCAAACAGCATTGCTACAAATAATGATATTTTCAAACTGCCATGACATTTTCAAGATAATGTTTAGCAAATCACTGTTTATATTATACATTTATATTAGCGATTAGTAAGATCCTGATTCTGAAAATGTACTTGTAAGAACTTCTTTTTTAATTTGCTTCTTTATCTCGATTACATTTTTTTTAATTGCACTTCGAAATTGCCTTAAAAACAGAAAAATGATGTATCGTCCACTTTAGTAGATAAAGGTGTCTATAAAAAATGTTTTAATAGTAAACTTTTATCTAGATATTTTTATATGAATCTTCGAAAATAAACTAAAAATCAACTGATGTAATCTCAATCGGTGACTTTTCTTTAGAAATTTCTACAGTCTCATATCTTTAAGATCATCTGTTTAGATTTTGCCCATTTTTAACTTTATGGATCTCAGCTTGAATAATTTTTATATACACGCTGCACTTCCCTCTCAGTACATTTGATAAGTTGGTTCGTGTTACTTCTCGCTAGTGATGGAAGGGATAGTGATTTTGCGAAATGCCGGATACCGGATATTTCGCATCCCCTTCGGCCGGATATCCGGTTATCCGGCTTATCTATATGGCCATTATGGTTATAATTTTTGGTGCATTTCTGAAGTGATACGCTATTGTACCACATTATACCTATGCGAAGTTAGCCCCCAATTTTTCTAACCCCCAATTAGATAGCATTTTACATGTATAGTATTTTGATTATAACAAGGGAACCAGTCAACCGATTTCGATAAACAATGTCTCTTTCGAAAGCTCAATGCTTGGCCAATACGAAATTGTAAATGCCCGATTCGAAATCTCTCTTGAATTCCGCTAAAACGCCAAAATAATGCGAAGGTACACGAAAATAACACAAAAATGACGTTTTTTAAGTTGTGATAACTCGTAAACGATGTAGCCGATGATCAAAATCTATACGTCATTCGATTCGTCGTAGTTTCTTCTATCGAAATCACAAAATGCCCGATTTCAATTCTCTCCGGTTAACCTTGTACAGCACTCGGAATGACACCGTCTTCGCGTCGGTGTTTATGCCCGTATGAACGCTCGAAAGTCTAGCCCCCAATATAAAAAAATTAATTTAAACTAAATCGACTATAATTAGAGAACGATTTGACGGATTTTAATGTTTTATATCTCAATTGATAGCTTTCGCCTGGCTGAATGCGGTTGTCGAAATGCCCGTTTCGAAATATTTAAGGATTTTGATTAAAACACAAAAAAACGAATTAATTAAACACATCAATTATCTCCTTAACTAATTGACCAATTTTAGTGATCAACATCGCGATCAAAAGTATGATCTTCAATGAATGCGAAGGTGGAAATGCCCGATTTCAAAATTTACTAATTACCTGCGTACGGCTATTGCAATGACCATGCGAATCTGACGACTAGAAGTCTAGCCCCCAATATGAAAAAATTAATTTCAACTAAATCGACTATAATTAGAGAACGGTTTGACGGATTTTAATCTTTTATATCTCAATTAAAAGTATGTGTCTGGCTGAATGCGGTTGTCCAACTGCCCGATTCGAAATATTTAAGGATTTTGATTAAAACACAAAAAACGATTAATCAAACACATCAATTATCTCCTTAACTAATTGACCAATTTTAGTCATCAACATCTCAATCGAAAGTATGATCCACAATGAATGCGAAGGTGGAAATGCTCGATTTCAAAATTTACTAATTACCTGCGTACGGCTATTGAAATGACCGACTGGAAGTCTAGCCCCCAAACTTTCGATGGAGGTATAAAACATTAAAATCCGTCAAACCGTTCTCTAATTATAGTCGATTTAGTTTGAATTATCTTTTTTATATTGGGGGATAGACTTTCTTTTGCAGGAAGTGTTAAACATTGAAGTTCGATTAGTGCGTTTTATTTTAGTAAAATGACGTAAGTTTTATTTGAAATGTTTCGAGAAAACGCGTAATTTTTTTATTGAAAGGTTGAGTTTTAAAACCAAAAAACGATTTAAAACCGCTTCGGCCCGTCGTCTTTTCATTTTTTGTTTATTCACCTCCAGTATTCCTTCTTCCCACAATAAATTAAGGAGGGGATGTTTGGAAGTTGATTCGCTAATAGCGCATTTTAGTTGATATGCGGGCATTTAACCCTTTAAGGACGATTGCCGTATATATACGTTTCACAAAAACAGCAGCGATGAACAGCCATTTGAAGACAGCGGAAGCGAATATTTACCAAGTAAAGATGAAGAGTCTGAAGAAGATGATATGTTAATTGATGAATATCAAGATGTAATGTTAGTAGAAAGTGTAAGTGAAGACAGTAATCATGAACTAGAAACCGACCTAGCGACGACAGAAAAAGATTACGCCGACATAAAAATAATTTGGGGAGACAGTGATTTCGTTCCAACAATTTTCGAATTTGATCCTACAAATAGCGGCATCAGGAATGATTCTTTGTCTGAAAAGTCCATAGAATTTGATTATTTTGCAAGCCTATTTACCGAAGATATCGTAGAATATATTGTAACCGAAACTAACCGATATGCTAATCAAAATCAGGCAAAGGATTGGAAAGAACTTTCAACACAAGAATTTTATGTTTTTATCGGTCTAACAATGCTAATGTCTCGAAACAAAAAAACTAATTTAAAAGAATATTGGTCTACAGATTCTTTGCTCGAGTCTCCAATCTTTTCTAGAACCATGCCTAGGGACAAATATATGAGTATTCTTTCAAATCTTCATTTTGTGAATAATGAAAAACAACCTACGACTAAACTATATAAGGTAGAAAAAGTCCTCAAACTCATAAAGGAGAACTTCCAAAAACAGTTCTACCCGTTTGAAAATTTAGTTGTTGATGAAAGCATGGTGTTATTTAAAGGACGTTTAAGCTTTAAACAATACATAAAGACGAAAAGGCATCGCTTTGGAATGAAACTGTACGTTCTTTGTGAGTGTGAAACTGGAATGGTTCTTGATTTCGTTGTGTATGTTGGAAATGATACAAAACAATTTGTTGAAGAAATAAAGGGTCTAGGATCTTCAGGATATGTCGTAGTGTCTCTTATGAAACCATACCTTGAGAAGGGACACAAGCTTTTCACAGACAACTACTATTCCAGCCCAATTTTGGCAAATTATCTTTTCGAAAAAAAAACGAACACCTGTGGAACTGTGCGTGAAAATAGAAAATATATGCCTACACTGAAAAAAAACTGAAGAAGGGCGAATTGTCTTCGAAAAGTAGCGATAAAATTCTTGTCATAAAATGGAAAGATCGCCGCGACGTAACTATGATATCTACAATGCACGAGAACAAAATAGTAATCATGGATAAAATTGACAAGCGAACAAATGAGGCTACGAAAAAACCACTGTGTGTAATCAATTACAACGAGAGAATGGGAGCAGTTGATCGCACAGATATGATGTTGAGCAATATAGAATGCATGCGCAAAAGTATGAAGTGGTACAAGAAACTTTTCTTCCACTCATTAGATTTATTAATTCTAAACTCGCACGCAATGATGCAAACAAAAAATGTTAACAAAATTCCTTTTGGTGATTTCCAGCTGAAACTTATTCGGCAAATTTTTGAAAAGTAAGTATCACCCCTGAATTGTAACATTTTTAAACTTCATATTTAACACAGGTTTCCTCTTGACTACCCTACTATAAGAATAGCTCGTGGTGTGCCAGATGTTAGAAGGTTGGTGGAAAAACATTTTCCTCACGTTGTTCCTGCAACACCGACAAATAAGACACCTCAAAGAAGATGTGTAGTATGTTCGCAAACAATTTTAGGACCCAGAAAGAGGAAAGATTCACGGTACATGTGTACCATTTGCAACGTGGGGTTGTGTCTGACGCCTTGCTTCGAAATTTACCACACTAAAAACCAATACTGAAAGAAATAAAAGTTGCTGTTGTTCATATGTACAATAAATAATTTTCTGATTTCTCTTTT